GGTAATAAAACAGTGCTCCACAGTGTGGGGTCGCTAGGGCAGGTATTTGTTTGTTCATCACCAGCAGCGAGGGGGATAGCTCCACCACAAACTCACTCGCCCATTCTTCACACAGTACTCGTTTTATACTTTTTTTACTTAATGGGCACATTATACTTTCCTAACCTTCATCTTGTAACATATTTCCTAATTCCACGATTAAAAAGCCTTCGTGGCACACTTGCAGTTCCTGCACGAGGTGGTCACCACCCTCCTGCTGGTGAAGGCTCAGAAGGCTTCCTCGGGCTTGCACTTCTCACCTCTCATTTCTGCAGTCTACAAGATTGTCTGCTCAAACACCAAGTGGTTACCATTTGCAGTTAGCTTGTTCTGCTAAATTTGCTGATTCCTAGAAAGCGCTTCATTCCCATCCCCTGTTGCAAAGTAAATGCTTCTTTCAGCACAGCTACAGCTTTTAGCATAGCTCAAGCATTTCCTCATTGCCTCGGCACCAAAAAGAAGCAAAGTAGGAAGGGCAAACCAGGGAGGGGGATGGGGCAACGTTATCTTGTTGCCCAGGCATTATAATTCCTTGGGTAAAGCAACATCCATCCATGGGCCAGCACTTTAGCTTGGATGACAATGCTGACAAAATTGCTGCCCCTTCCTGCTGCTGTAGCTGACTCCAAATCACGAGCAATGTGCCAACTCTGCCAAAGACAGGCAGACATGGTGAGATAAAATGAGCTAACCTGCTGAAAAGGAGACCAAATGAATGTCTTCTAATCCCCCCTTTTCATCCTATCTCCAGCCAAGACAGAGCAATGTCCTTCCTCTCTGTCACCGATGGTGACCCAGGCAGGGGATGCAGGGTGGGGACAGAGCCCGCCGCTGCTCTCAGTGCCCTGCCCTGCCCTTCCCAGCCTGCCTTGCCACTCTTCCCTGATGGAAGTGCAGCTGCTGTCAAGGGAAACGTCCCCATGCTGACTCTGTTCCCTTTGCTTCCCAGATGTGCCATCTGCTGTCCCTGTCCAGGAGAGCTGCTCTGCGTGGGAGGATGAGGCCGAGGGAGAGGCTTTGAAGATGGGGCAGCTGAGATCCCTCTTCTTGGAGTTCTCTTTAATGATACATGGACTTGTACATGGACAGGGATTATTATATGGACATGTGCATATGTAGGCTGCTATCTGTACAGGCATATTTCTATATGTCATTATATTTATGGAGGTATGCTATGTATATATGTATGCATATATATGCATATATGTTTGTAATTGCATATATGTGTATTTATGTATCTTAAGTGTACATATATGTTGTTATATCTCTCTTTAGTTCTATTTCCTATGTATACAGTTGTGTTGCTATCTGTCTATTGGTGCAGTCATAGATATATGGCTCTTTAAATTTTGGTATTTGTATTGGTATATACATCTATTTTTATACTTTTGTATGTGTATTGATCCATTTCTATGTGTAATTATTTTTACATATGTATCCAGATGTATAGCTGTATATTTGTATTGATGTAGTTGGTTGGATATTTAGATTGGTACAGCGATATTTGTATATTTACAGATAGATTTGTTGTATCTGTTATTTATATAATACATAATATGCAGTATTTAATCTGTTTACTTCTGTTCATTGTTATATATGTATTTATATATGAGTGTGTATATATGTATTTAGTTCTATTTAAACATGTATGGAGATGTGTAGTTGTATAATTCTTACATTTGAGTTATTGGTATAGGACTACTTATGGAATGAATATTTTTGTATTTCTATATGGGCTGTACACCTGTAGTAACATGTAATAAATTAAGCTGTTAAACACCTAATTGATCTTTGTGTATAGTGAGTTGTTGCAGAAATTGGCAATAAATTTTATTAACTGAAGTTGGCATTTGTATAATTTTACATAGACTAGTTGTAATAATCTAGTAAATTTCCTGGTTTTAACCTTAATTAAGATTTGTATGGTCCTGTATTCTCAGCATAGGTGTAGCAATTTGTAATAAATGACATTTTTCAACTGAAATTGATTCTTGTGTATTTGTTGATCAGCAGTGCGGCTGTAGCAATCTGCAAGAAATGCCATTTGCCAGCTGTGATGGGGGTTTTGTGATTTGTGCTGCCCAAAGCCATGAGCAGATGGGAATGCTGCAGGATTTGGGCCATGGAAGTCTCCAGCCATGCCCAGCACATACCCCACCTGCACTCAGGCTGGGCACGGGAAGCGCAGATTTGGGATGGCAGCAGAGCCACACGTTGGCTCAGAACTCGCTGCATGAGTTGTTGTAGAGAGATACAATAAACTAATTTTTTTAACTGAAGTTGATATTTGCATATATTTACAAAGCACAATTCTCACAAAAAATTAGATTTTAAACTTAAATTGATATTTTCATGTTTATACATTGGCAGCACAAGTGTAGCAATTTAAAACAAATTTCATTTTTAAACTTAAGGGTTTTTTGCATATTTGTACATTACTAGTGCAGGTATAACTATCTGCAATAAATGCATTGATTCAACTTAAAGACATGTAGATTTGTGCTACCTAAAGCTATGAGCAGACGGAAATGCTGCAGGAGTTGGGCCATGGAAATCTCCAGCCATGCCCAGCACATGCCCCACCTGCACTCAGGCTGGGCACGGGAAGCGCAGATTTGGGATGGCAGCAGAGCCACACGTTGGCTCAGAACTCGCTGCAAAGGCCTGCTGAGAAAACTCCGGGACTTCACTGAGAGCAGAACTCCTTCCAAGCAGGAACCACCTGGGAAGGACAAATCCACCCCCCATCCCACGGGCAGCTCTTCAGGAAGAGCTCCAAGTGTCCACCTGAAGCTCATCCCAGAGCCCAGAAGCCAGCAGGGATCCTGAGCCAGCTCCACCGCCTTTGGCAGCACTGGCAAATGAGCTGCAGCAAGGGGGAGGCAACAGTGACTGTGACTGCTGCAGGCTGGAGATGGAGGAAGGGCCATGGACACAAGTGCTGAGATGCTCCAAAGTCCAGAAGGAGGCTGGAAAACTGAGAATCAGCTGGTTCTCACAGGCACTGAAATGATGGAAGCCGTTTGTGTGAAGTTCTCTGGAAGAACTGCCAGGGGAGTTGCTGCTAGGATCAGCAGTAGCAGAAGGCAGCAGGATCTGCTTATTTTCCTTGGCTCTGTTTCCAGGACACAGGCTGTGATGGCCCCTGCTTCCAGAAAGCCCTTGCCCATGGAGACTGCAGGGCAAAAGCAATCCCATTGCAAAGAGAGGATTTGCAGTTGAAGTCCACTGCCCTTGTTTAGGGGATGGATGACTGCCGTGCCAAAGCACAGCAGCTGGGCTGCAGGGCCCCTCGCAGCTCTGTGTGTTGCCTGACTTGTCTCTGCTGCAACACATGTGAGAAGGACAAAGTGGCCTGACTGTATTGTTAGCACAGCTACTCCTGGATCTGATGGCACACTTCTCAACCAGCCAGGGCCAGGCCATATAGTAAAATACTCTATAAACAAGCCTCTACTCTATTCATGTCAGTTGGGGAAGTTTCCTAAAGTGATATATTTCTTGCAGAGAACTACACAAGTAGACACCATAAGTGTCTTTGTAGTCTATTTTTAGCTAAATACTGATGGAGTTAATGACCCCAGGATTTATCTTGTAAGTCAGGTCTGGCTGAGGCTTGCTGCTCAGGCCTCAGCACATCAGACACTGAATTCAGAGAACCTTTTGATAAAGGTTGTCACCCCTTCACTTTTTTAGCCCAATACTTCTAGTCCTGATAAATTAGAATTCTTTCCGTATATTCTGGCAAACAGACCATCTAAAATTTTCCCTGTTTCTCGGTGTTTAAATTCTATCCACCAAGAGAAACTCAGTCACTTCCAAAATGAGCTTGAAATAAGCTATTATTCTAAAACAAGCCAAGCCATTTTTCTTGCTAAGAGAGGAGTTTCCAAAACTCCTCTGTGAAACTAATGCAGATTGTTTGAAGTATCCATTTCCCTCCAGGAGCAGAGGGACAACAACCTGGGCAGACTGCATACAAGGCTCATTTCAGTAGAAAGGTGATACAAGAGAGACTGGGGATGGACAGAGGGGCTTTGCAGCTCTGCTGGGGCTGTTCAGTTCAGGTTGCTGTTCACAGCTGTAAAAGGAACTCTTGCTGATGTAGCAAAACTGTTTGAAGATGTAGACAAGTCCTGATTGTGATAAAGCATTTGTACCCCAAAATCTACCAGCAGCTTATCACACCATTCTTTAGCCAACTTGCTGCCAGAACTTGTAATCCTGGGAGAAACTTCCAGGGAAAGGGGAGTGGGTTCTACTCTCATCCCTTCTAACAGCTCCTACACCATGGCAGAAACTCTCAGCAGCCCAGACACCCCTTGGAAAGGCAGGATGCCATGTTCCTTCTCACTTGTAAGGATTCTTTATCATTTACAAGGCTTTACTCATATATTCTGAATGTTTTCATGAAGACAATGAATAGTTTAAGAGCCTGTGATGAACTTTCACTTTGCTTCTGGTATTTCCTGCAGGGAGGGGATTGAGGAAGGCAGGAGATTCCATGCTTCAGGGAAGGGACGCCCGTAAGACAAACCTCTGACAGGTGCACCTTCCATGCAAATTAAGTTTACAGGGAAAACACTACACCCTAGGAAGCAATGTCACAAATCAACAACTTCCCATTTTGATTTTAGGAACAGACTTCAAATTTAGCCTCCAACCACAGGCAGCACTCAGACTCTTAAGCCACGTGACATCCCTGCCAAAATTCCCAGCAGCCATGACAAAATGGCTGCAGAAATAATGCAGCATCCTGGCCCTCCTGCTGTGTCAGGAATAAGCTGCTCGGGATACAGCCAAAAGACACAAGTTGGTTCAGTTGAGCGTATTTTGAAAGGAGAGGAAGGAAGAAAGCACATGTCTCTACTGTAGAAGTTTAAAGCTTGTGAGAAATGTTTCTGAGAACTGGATAAAAGATGGGAGAGCAGACAGTACCAGAGGCAGGAGAACCAGAAAAATAAACCAAACAACAACTTTAATAAGAATTTGTACATAACAAGGTTAATCTTTGTGGTAAAGCTGTAGCAAAGGAACTGCTAAAAGTCCTTTTCTGAGAAGGACAACGACAGCAATGCCTCAGCCTAGGGGAAGGTGAGCACATCAACCAGGGCTCATCAATGGAATGCTATTTTCTAAGGGTCTCCAAGATCTCTCCTTTCTCCTCTTCTGGATATTTAGCTGTGTTTGTTCAGGGCTAGGGAGGATGTTTCCTAGTGCACTAGCCCTCAGGGGTTCTTGCCTGGGCTCAGGAAGATATACAGGTACCTAAGGAGTTGCTCCATTGAGTCTACATATTCATTTCCTTGGCCTCTATTGGGCCTGTTAATTGGGAAACACTTCCCTCCCAGGATTCCTTGATGGGACTTAATTAGCATCCAAAGCAGAGCCCTTAAATGAAGCTCTCACTAATCTCTGCTACAGCTCAGCTTCCATCCCACCAAGGCAGCACTTCAGCTGCATGTTCCCCCTTGGCAGTGTGAAAGCAAGGGATGGGAAATTTCCTCTCAGGCACAAAGAACACACAAAAACTGAGGGCAAGACCAAAGGGACAGAGCCAAGAAAGGAAGCAAGATCCAGAGTGTGTTTCTTCTGAGACCCCGAAGGCACCTCCCAGGAGACACTGCAGCTCAGGCAGCAGAAGCTGAGAGGGAGGGAGGGAGGGAGGCTGGCTCTGCACCAGCAGGGGCTCTGAGAGCCTCAGCCGATGTAGATCCTGTGGAAGTCGTTGGCCCCAAAGGCCGCGTTGCACTTGGGGCACTTGCGCTGCCGGGTGTCGTAGCGCGTCTTCACGCACTCGAAGCAGAAGACGTGGAAGCACTTGGTGAGCACCGCGTCCTTCTTGCGCATGTTGCAGCAGGGGCACGTCAGGCGGGCCTGCAACACACACACACAGAGAGCTGTGAGGGGCCCTGCAGCCCAGCTGCTGTGCTCAGAGATGTCTCAACAAGAAGGTCCTTCCATTTCTCAGGACAGTGTGGTTTCTTCAGTACAGACAACAGATGTCAGATACTGGAAGTGTGCCTACACACCTTCTGACTAAAGTAAAAAGGAAAGCTGAGGGACACAGATACTCACCTTGTAATCCTTGATTTCCTCCATCAGGATCTCATCACAGTTGGGAACCATGTCAGGCTTCTTTGTGGTCTCCAGCTTCCTGCGCAACCTAGAAATATCTTCCTACATAAAAACAGGAGACCAAGTGAAGGAGCAATACATTCTCTGTCAAAGAGAATGTATTGCCAAATACAAATATACCAAAGAGAATGCGCACCTGGCTAAGTCACGCCACCCTGTCATATCATTCTAGAAAGGGGTTCAAATCTTCGCCTCTGTCTGCCCAGAACTCCCATGGCAGCCAGGCACCTTCTCGCTCCACAACCCCCACTTCTCCTTCTGGCCGGCTGTGCTGCCAGTCCATGATACCAAATTTCAAGGTAGGGCAGGCACTGGCTCTCTCTCTCTGTCTCTCTCCCGGGGGGCCCGATACTTCTCAGGGCTCCTCCACCATCTTGCAAGGCCTTCACCTCCTCCTCTGCCCAAGGCTCCGGCCTACCTCACCCGGCCGCATGGCTTCCCTCCCCCAGCCAGCCCTGGCTGGGCAGGGGAGCTCTGACCTCCTTCACTGACCAGGACCAAGGCAGAGTTCTCCTGGCACTTCTCTGATTTTAACCCGCTGTGTTCTCAGAGGCGGTCCCTACCTTCAGTGGCCAAACCAGGTGCCAATATTCAAATCCAAGCACTGATTGGTTTGACCACAACCTCCCAAAAAATTCACTTCCTTCTTAACCTACGACAGAAGGACAGTGTGGTTTCTTCAGTACAGATAACAGATGTCAGATACTGGAAGTGTGACTACACACCTTCTGACTAAAGTAAAAAGGAAAGCTGAGGGACACAGATACTCACCTTGTAATCCTTGATTTCCTCCATCAGGATCTCATCACAGTTGGGAACCATGTCAGGCTTCTTTGTGGTCTCCAGCTTCCTGCGCAACCTAGAAATATCTTCCTACATAAAAACAGGAGACCAAGTGAAGGAGCAATACGTTCTCTGTCAGCTTCTTCAGGGACCAAAGAGAATGCGCACCTGGCTAAGTCATGCCACCTGTAGTTTCATCCCCTATAATCCAAGAGACAACATGATCAAGTGATGACAAAAGTATTGTCAGTTATCAGGGGACAAAATCTGAAAGAGCAAAGACCTCATGAAGCCAAAATCAAAGTGAAACTGGACACCAAAAGCAGTTCAATTGAAACCCTCTGCAAGCTCAATGTACAAGGACACCAAAGGACACAGATCTTGAAGGATTGTGCACAGGATATATACCTCCGCCCTTTTGAAGTTGAACATCTCTTTCTCTCTAGTTACTCTGTTTTCCACAATCTCCTCCTGGAAATCACGTAACTTCTTCTGAGCCAGCTCTAGCTGGGCCTTCAGATCATCTGCAAGCTGGGCTGCATCCATGGCCTGAGAAAGAAAACCAGTATATAAGAACCAAACATAGATCAGCTCCAGTGATTTCTAGTCCCTTGTTATTATCTTATGATCAACAAATTCTAATAATTTAGCTTCTACATTCATTTGGGCAGAGCCAAACCTTGGCACACTGCAAAGCACATCACTTAGAAAAACACTAATGATCATCCAAATCTCTTCTTAACGTATTTTCAGCCTTCCAGCTTCCACATTTTCTCTATTAAAAGTGTTCAGCGGCAGTTCTGTAGCTGAACTAGTCAGAACTGCAAGATACCTATTTCTAACAATCTTCTCTCTTCACTAGCTCTCTTCTGACTTTATAACTAAATGCCTTAATACCACAAATTGTCATATTAAGCACAGGTGACTCTGTTGAATTCTCCCCAGCTCCTCTTCACAGTGATATTCCTGCTTTCCTTTCTGCCTGTTTTAATGTAATTCCTGCATTTCTATTAAAACTTAACAACAAAGGCAGCATCAGCTATAAGACTTATTTCACTGGTAACACACCTACTTTACTGATCTTAGGCACTTGTTGAAAGTGTTCACATTTCCCAGCTGTATTTCCTTTTGCTTATCCCATCCTTGCTACAAAAGCTTTGACCCCAGTTAACTTCATCTGGCTGCTGTCTCTTTCTTTATCATAGGTTACACAGCAAAACATATGACCTGCTTCTCCTTATCAAAGCAAAACATCAATTTCCAGTACTTGAGTCATAATTCTCTCCAGGACTCCTCAGCCTTCTGATACACTCATTCAAAACCAGGGAATACCAGGTTCTGTAATGCCAGTGAGAGCTCAGAGCCTCCCATGCCTCCCACAGGGCAGCAGCTCCACCCCACAACCCAAGAGGAAACGAAGGCATCACTCACCTTGCGTTTGTTCATCTCCAGGGCCTGTGTTCGCAGACCCAGCTCCTTCTCTCCTGTTCCAATGCTGCTCTGCAGTAAGTGTTCCTTCTCCTCCAGCTTACGTACAACCTGCAGCTGGGAATCTACCTTGGAATGGGAGACAGAGGGAACAGAAGGAATTAATGCATGTCATGGTGCAAGAGGAAGACTCCTCTCTTCCAATGAACTGGGGGGAGATTGTGTGAAGGAGGGTATTGGACTGAGAATTGAATGTTAGAGGGGATTTGAGTGTTAAGAGGGGTGGGGGAGGAGGAGTGTTTTGAAAGTGTTCCATTGTGGATTACTGTGTGTGTTTTCTTTCTTTTTTTCCCTTTTGTGTCTATGTAGATTAATAAAGTGTTGGGTTTTTTTTGCCCTCCATTCCCAAGTTGGAGCCTGCTTTGTTCTGTTTCCACCTCACATCTCACAGTAACCATTTTGGAAATACACCTTTCATGGCACTGTGCCAGGGTCAATCCATGACACACCCATAGTTTCATCCCCTATAATCCAAGAGACAACATGATCATGTGATGACACAAGTACTGTCAGTTATCAAGGGACAAAATCTGAAAGAGCAAAGACCTGATGAAGCCAAAATCAAAATGAAACTGGACACCAAAAGCAGTTCAGTTGAAACCCTCTGCAAGCTCAATCTACAAGAACGACACCAAAGGACACAGATCTTGAAAGATTGTGCACAGGATATATACCTCAGCCCTTTTGAAGTTGAACATCTCTTTCTCTCTAGTTACTCTGTTTTCCACAATTTCCTCCTGAAAATCGTGTAACTTCTTCTGAGCCAGCTCTAGCTGGGCCTTCAGATCATCTGCAAGCTGGGCTGCATCCATGGCCTGAGAAAGAAAACCAGTATATAAGAACCAAACATAGATCAGCTCCAGTGATTTCTAGTCCCTTGTTATTATCTTATGATCAACAAATTCTAATAATTTAGCTTCTAGATTCCTTTGGGCAGAGCCAAACCTTGGCACACTGCAAAGCACATCACTTAGAAAAACACTAATGATCATCCAAATCTCTTCTTAACGTATTTTCAGCCTTCCAGCTTCCACATTTTCTCTATTAAAAGTGTTCAGCGGCAGTTCTGTAGCTGAACTAGTCAGAACTGCAAGATACCTATTTCTAACAATCTTCTCTCTTCACTAGCTCTCTTCTGACTTTATAACTAAATGCCTTAATACCACAAATTGTCATATTAAGCACAGGTGACTCTGTTGAATTCTCCCCAGCTCCTCTTCACAGTGATATTCCTGCTTTCCTTTCTGCCTGTTTTAATGTAATTCCTGCATTTCTATTAAAACTTAACAACAAAGGAATCATCAGCTATAAGACTTATTTCACTGGTAACACACCTACTTGCTCAGCCTGGTCTGCCAGCGGCTGGGCACCTTGCCCACCCCTTCTCTCCTGACCATGGTGCCGGCACATGATATCAAATTTCCAGCCTGCACAGTCTCTTTATCATGCTCTCCCGGGGGGGCTGCCCAAACCATCCCAGGTCTCCTCCACCCCTGCATCTTGCAGGGCTCCGGCCTCTCTCAGGCCGCATGGGCTCCCACTCCCCCACCCAGACGCAGCTGGGCGGGGGAGGAGATCAGATCCGCTCACCTGCCGGACTCCAAAGAGGAAGTCTCTCTGGGAATGCTCTGCTTTTAACCCCTGTGTGTTCTCAGAGGCGTATCCAAGTCCCTAGTGGCCACACCAGGTGCCAATTTAAAATCTGGCCACTGATTGGTTTGACCATAACTTTCCCAAAACCTCACTTCCTGGTCAAACCACGACAAAGCTGCGGGGGTAAAACTACTCCTGCTTCCCCATCACCAGGGAGCATAACTTCAGTTTGCCTTTTTCTCCCTGAACAGCCGTGCCTGTATCCAGAAAGCTGTACCCAGATCTCTCTGGTCAATACTTTAAAAATTAGCAGTGAAATATTTGCAACAAAGATGTCTTAATTTTTGGACAGTGGCTTAAAGACTTGCTGTAAGGCAGTGAACAGTTCCAGTGGTACCAAGGATGACAGGATACAGAGCCATAGAACAGCCTGGATTGGAAGAGACCTTAAAGATCACCTAGTCTCAGCTTCCCTGGGATAACTTCCACTAGGGCATGTTTCTCAAAGCCCCATCCAAGCCTGGCCTTGAACACTTCCAGGGATGGGGCATTCACAACTTCTTTGGACAACCTCCAGCAGTGCCTCCCTACTCTCTGAGTGAAGAATTTCATTCTAACATCTAACACAAGCCTGCCCTCTTTCAGTTTAAAACCACTGCCTCTTGTTCTGTAATTGTATGCTCATATAAAAAGTTCCTCTCCCTCATTTTTCTAAGCCCTCTTCAGGTACTGGAAGGCTGCAATGAAGTGTCCCCTGAGTCTTCTCCATGCTGAACAGGCCCAGCTCTCTCAGCCTGTTCTTGTAGCAGAGGTGCTCATTTCTTATCATCATCTTTACAGGTTCCTCTGGACTCCCTCCAAGAGGTCCATGTGTCTTTCCTGTGCTGAGGACCCCAGAGCTGGATGCAGCACTGCAGCTGGGGTCTCACAAGGGCAGAGCAAAAGGGCAGAATCCCTTCCCTCAGCCTGCTGCCCAGGATGCAGCTGCTTTGGATGAAGCCCAGGATGCAGCTGGCTTTCAGGGCTCCCAGTATGCCCTGATGGGTCAGGTCCAGCCTCTCATCCACCAGAATCCACAAGTCCTTCTCTGCTCTGGTGCTCTCAGTGACTTCCTCTCTCAGCCTGTGCCCATGTCTGACGTAGTTCAGACTGAACCATGGTTTCCAGCTCCTCCTGCTTGTTACCAGTATATACAGCTATAGGTAGAATATACAGGCAGAAGTACTATTCCAACAGGAAAAGGACTTCCCACTTTTCCTCATCCATCTGCTCTCCATAGCAATGAACCTGTAGGACATTGTAATGCTCATACAGCAGCCTCAGTTTCCTACAATGGCAGGCCCCTTTGAAGTCTGATGCATTCCTAGGCTGGTGAGAGGAACACTCCATCCTGGACTGATTCTGGTGAGGACAGCTAATTCTCTTCAGAGCAGCTCACATGCTGCTATGTTTTGCATTTTGGAGCAAAAGACTGTCAGTAACACAGCACTGTTTTAGCTGCTGCTGAGCAGTACTTACACAGCACCAAGACCTTCTGTGTCTCATGCTGCCCACCAGCAGGTGGGCTGAGGGTGCCCAGGAAGCTGGGATGCCACACAGCTGGGACAGCTGATCCAGCTGGCCCAAGGGGTGTTCCACACCCTACAATGCTGTGCTCAGCAATAACAGCTGGTGGAAAGGAAGCAGTGGGAGGATGTTCAGAACTGAAGCGTTTATCAAATAACAATAAGGCCTGATGAAGCCCTGCCTTCCTGGAGATGACCAAACTCCTGCCTGCCCCAGGAAGTAACCAGTTAATTAATTTCTTGTTTCACTTGTAGGTACATCTTTGCTTTAGCTGTTAAATTGCCTTTATTCAGCTCACTTGTTTTCTCACTATGTCCCTTCTGATTCTTTCCCCTTTCCTTCAGTGGGGGAGAGAGCAAACTCTCTGCCCCACTTGTGTGCAGCTGCCTAAAGAGATAACCCACACCTCCACCTTCCCCGGCAGCTCTCTTGTCCTCTCTCCTTTTTCCCTATTACCTGTGTTTTCAGTGTCAAAACTTGGTCTGCTAGCTCCTCCTTTTCCTCTTTCAGCAGCTTATGGATCTGGTTGGACTTGATACGTTCTGACATCAGCTTGAAGTTGGCATCATCCTTCTCCCGCAGCTGCTGCATCAGGCGGATGTTCTGCTCTTGCATGTCTTCAAAGGCTTGGCCTGTGACATCCATTTCTGACAGCAGGGCCTCTTCCTCCTGCAAAAGAACCACAGGCTCTGGCCAAACTGTGCTCTGGACCCCCTATAGTGAGCCTGAACATTTTATTCAGAGACACCAAACCTAGTGAAGATGGAGGAAGATTCTTGGTGTCAGGGAACACCATTATCCAAACAAGCAGAAAAATGTATTCCTACAAGTCTGCACCACAGCAGAAATACTCTGAATTTGAAGGTGCAGAGAAAAGATGATTCTGGCAGAATCAGGTTTGACACAGTCATTGCCAGTGCTGGGCAGAAACCAACACCCAATTCCCAGCAGCTGAACAGCTGTCAGATACATCAGGCCAAAAATTCTACATGTGGGCAGCTTGGCAGCTTCCAACTAACATGCTGCCAAGCTCCTTAAACTCACTTTGGCCACTTCAGCATTGACAATTTCCTGTGCTGAGGACCCCAGAGCTGGATGCAGCACTGCAGCTGGGGTCTCACAAGGGCAGAGCAAAAGGGCAGAATCCCCTCCCTCAGCCTGCTGCCCAGGATGCAGCTGCTTTGGATGAAGCCCAGGATGCAGCTGGCTTTCAGGGCTCCCAGTATGCCCTGATGGGTCAGGTCCAGCCTCTCATCCACCAGAATCCACAAGTCCTTCTCTGCTCTGGTGCTCTCAGTGACTTCCTCTCTCAGCCTGTGCCCATGTCTGACGTAGTTCAGACTGAACCATGGTTTCCAGCTCCTCCTGCTTGTTACCAGTATATACAGCTATAGGTAGAATATACAGGCAGAAGTACTATTCCAACAGGAAAAGGACTTCCCACTTTTCCTCATCCATCTGCTCTCCATAGCAATGAACCTGTAGGACATTGTAATGCTCATACAGCAGCCTCAGTTTCCTACAATGGCAGGCCCCTTTGAAGCCTGATGCATTCCTAGGCTGGTGAGAGGAACACTCCATCCTGGACTGATTCTGGTGAGGACAGCTAATTCTCTTCAGAGCAGCTCACATGCTGCTATGTTTTGCATTTTGGAGCAAAAGACTGTCAGTAACACAGCACTGTTTTAGCTGCTGCTGAGCAGTACTTACACAGCACCAAGACCTTCTGTGTCTCATGCTGCCCACCAGCAGGTGGGCTGAGGGTGCCCAGGAAGCTGGGATGCCACACAGCTGGGACAGCTGATCCAGCTGGCCCAAGGGGTGTTCCACACCCTACAATGCTGTGCTCAGCAATAACAGCTGGTGGAAAGGAAGCAGTGGGAGGATGTTCAGAACTGAAGCGTTTATCAAATAACAATAAGGCCTGATGAAGCCCTGCCTTCCTGGAGATGACCAAACTCCTGCCTGCCCCAGGAAGTAACCAGTTAATTAATTTCTTGTTTCACTTGTAGGTACATCTTTGCTTTAGCTGTTAAATTGCCTTTATTCAGCTCACTTGTTTTCTCACTATGTCCCTTCTGATTCTTTCCCCTTTCCTTCAGTGGGGGAGAGAGCAAACTCTCTGCCCCACTTGTGTGCAGCTGCCTAAAGAGATAACCCACACCTCCACCTTCCCCGGCAGCTCTCTTGTCCTCTCTCCTTTTTCCCTATTACCTGTGTTTTCAGTGTCAAAACTTGGTCTGCTAGCTCCTCCTTTTCCTCTTTCAGCAGCTTATGGATCTGGTTGGACTTGATATGTTCTGACATCAGCTTGAAGTTGGCATCATCCTTCTCCCGCAGCTGCTGCATCAGGCAGATGTTCTGCTCTTGCATGTCTTCAAAGGCTTGGCCTGTGACATCCATTTCCAACAGCAGGGCCTCTTCCTCCTGCAAAAGAACCACAGGCTCTGGCCAAACTGTGCTCTGGACCCCCTATAGTGAGCCTGAACATTTTATTCAGAGACACCAAACCTAGTGAAGATGGAGGAAGATTCTTGGTGTCAGGGAACACCATTATCCCAACAAGCAGAAAAATGTATTCCTACAAGTCTGCACCACAGCAGAAATACTCTGAATTTGAAGGTGCAGAGAAAAGATGATTCTGGCAGAATCAGGTTTGACACAGTCATTGCCAGTGCTGGGCAGAAACCAACACCCAATTCCCAGCAGCTGAACAGCTGTCAGATACATCAGGCCAAAAATTCTACATGTGGGCAGCTTGGCAGCTTCCAACTAACATGCTGCCAAGCTCCTTAAACTCACTTTGGCCACTTCAGCATTGACAAGGTAGAGCAGTTCTGTTCTACAATAACAAGAATCCAAATTCTAAGAAAGTACATGTCAATTCATTGACTTGCCTCTACCCTGCTGAGGTGGTCCTGCTCTCTCACTGGATTGAGCCTTTTTTAGCAGAAGGTATGTACCACTTCCATGCAAAATATTCACTAGATGAGCTGAGGAGTTAATAACTCTTAAAAAGAAATTGTAATCTCTTCCCTTAATGGCTGATAAAGCAAATTCTCCTCTGTATGCTTCACCAAGGCCACATGTTTAACTGTTTATTTAATGTTTAATTGTTATTAAACATTTCCTACCATGGCCTGCCTGTGATATCCCAAAGCTGAGGGTGGAGAGGTTATTTTGTTGGTGGTTCTTTTGCTTGCTCAGTTTTCTTCCCCTTTGGTAAACAAGCACCAAACTCTCATCTCTGGCCCATACAGATATAAATTCCTTCTCTCCTCCTGGACGTAACCTGAAGGCAGCTCCTTCAGTTACCCCAGTCAAAAGAGAACTCATCAGGAATTTCTCACCTGCTTAGCCATGGCAAGCTTCTTCTGTAAATATTCAATCTGTTCCTCCACTGCTCGGATCTTGCGGAGGGCATCCTCATCAGCCATCTTCTTACTTTCCTTTTTTTCCTTGTCTTCCAATTCTTTCACCCTCTGCCTCAGTTCTTCAAGCTACAAAAACCAACCAGAAATGACACTAAACACAAGGATATGCCCTGAGCATTGTTAAGAGTCTGTTTTCTCCAAAATTCTGTGAAACACTCTGAACTGCCTTCAAAGCACGGCAAAAAAATCCAGGTTGTTTTGACAGAGTATTACAGGCAGATGTACCATTGGGATGGGCAGTAAGCCCAAGATCTTGAGTTCCACACCTTTGAATTTCACAGCATCTTTTATCAGAGTAGGAACATCAGTCTCCTGCAATTACACATGTATAGATATGTGCTCAGAGAGCATCTGCTCCTTTAAGGCCATCTGGTCAAGGACCTTCTTCCATACAAGAAGGAGACAGGAAAAGGAGGAGGTAAAATCAAACATACAGAGATACAAACTTGGCAGACAAATGGTAAGGGAGGCATTGATAAGAATGAAACTTGGTCAGTCACACTAGCTGATGAGAGCACGTAAGAGTGTGAAAATGTTTACTCCATCAACATTATCTGAGTGTGGGAGAAGGAGAAAACCCAAACCAAAATATACAGAGACACAAACCTTACAAAACAAACACAGAGACAAAGAGAGGAAGCAAGCCTCTCCAGTCACAACAGCTGATAAACTTCAAGGAAACTACAGGAACCACCTCCAGGAAGATCAGCTTGGATTTTGTAACTGATGACACTGTAAAGCAGGAATGGCTCCTGAACTGGGACGGCTGTGGCAATCAAGAGCTGCTCAAATCCAGAAGCAATGTGCAGGGAAATGGAGACCCAAGGATGAACAAACTGGGGTTAGACAGAGAAGGGTATAAAAGGAGCCAGTTCCATGGGAAATATGGGCAGTCAGTACACATTTGTCTGGCTTGGCCTTGCCCATGATCATCACAGCCTGTTCTGTCCTATCTTCTTGTATCTTTTCATTACACATTTTCCTAAGTATGCCGTGTAATCTAACTCTTTACCCCAGGTAAGTGTGCTGTTCAGAGGAAGTGCTGCCTATAGGTGAGACCTGCTTGTGAAGAAGGCAAGAGGGGCTTGGAACCACAGGGGTCCCAAAGAGAGGGACATGCTGGAACTTAAGGGATCTGCAAATGGGTCTGTGCTTATGAACCTACAGATTGTTGTGTGTGTGTGCCTGCACTAGCAACTAGTCCCTGTTTATCTCCAGGCCACTCCAATCTCTAATCAACAAAGCTGAGAAGACAAACAATCCTCAGTTCTCAGGAGACAAACAACACAGTTCTGCTGCAGAGTATCTGAAAAGAAGGTTAAGTAACACATTAAAAAGAAAAGAGGAAGAGAAATTAGGAATACCTCAGCTTTTGCCTTCTTCTCAGCTGCCATCAGCTGCACTTTGTCTCTCTGCTCTTTGGGGGCAGAGCGGTACATATCCAGCAACAGTTTCATCTCCTTCTGACTCTCCTGGGCCTTCCTGGAGAAAGGGAGACAGACCACAGTGAGAACACAGCAGCAAAGCGACTCTCTTAGCCAGCACCACAGCCTGGCAATATTCTCTCATCCCCCACATGGACATGGAGTAGCTCGTGGCTCATTTTATTCTGGTAACATAAAACAGCAGCTGAGTGTAGGCTGGAAGTAAAACATGTTCAGGCATATGGGATGAAATGCAAGAAGTGGGCTGGAGATGAAATACGTATCCTAATAAAATTAGGAATACCTCAGCTTTTGCCTTCTTCTCAGCTGCCATCAGCTGCACTTTGTCTCTCTGCTCTTTGGGGGCAGAGCGGTACATATCCAGCAACAGTTTCATCTCCTTCTGACTCTCCTGGGCCTTCCTGGAGAAAGGGAGACAGACCACAGTGAGAACACAGCAGCAAAGCGACTCTCTTAGCCAGCACCACAGCCTGGCAATATTCTCTCATCTCCCACGTGGATATGGAGTCATCCTTGGGTCATTTTATCCTGGTAACACAAAACAGCAGCTGAATACAGGCTGGAAAAGAAACATGTTCAGGCACAAGGGTTGAAATGCAAGAAGTGGGCTGAAGTTGAAATAAGTACTCTAACAATAAGCTACAAACTATCCACCTCTGCTTTGGGAGCCATCCAGGAGTGGGAACACTGCTGTGTCCTCTGTTAATAACCTGCTGCTGTGAATTTATATGCTATTGTTATGACAGCAACAAATCAACATTACTTGACCCACACCATGAAGTATCTGCTTTGGTAATTCATGCTTTAGGACATTGTAGGAAAAACACTTCTACACTGACCACATCACAATAGATACCAAGGGCATCAAGAAAATCTCTTGGCTCCAAACTCCAGTGATGCTGATGCTGTAAAAGCAAGAACACGTGAACACCCCAGGCTTGGGCACTGCTCCCACAGGAAAGGGAGAAACAACAACTCTTACTTGAGCTCAGCTTTCAGCTGCTTGATCACTTCAGCCTCCTTCTTTCTTCCATCTTCATGCTTCCCTTTCTCCTTCTCTTTGGACTCTCTCTCCTTCTCTGATTCCTTCTGTTTCTGCTTTTCCCGCTCTCGTTCCTTTTCCTTCTCTTTTTCTCGTTCTCTCTCCTTCTCCTTTTCCTTCTCTTGTTCCCTCTCCCTTTCCCGTCTCTCCCGCTCCCGTTCCTCTTCATCTCGCCTGGCCTTCATCTCATTAACATCTTCAGAAGCAGCCTTGGGAACAGTCACTTGGGCAGAAGGATCATCAGGCTCCTGCTTGATCTCTGCAGGTTCTTCCTTTGTGTCTTCAGTGCTGGACTGGGATTGGAGGAGACCACTGCCACTACGAGAGCGGATCTGGAGTGGAACAGAAAGAGAGATGACCAAGAAAACAAAGATTTAAGTTCTTAGCCAGGAATCTTCCTTACCCCCTTCTCCTTTGTCTTCCCAGATCCATGCTTCCATGCCCTCTTTTCGTGGAGCACTACACAGCTACAAAGGAAGAGCATTCATTTGGTCAAAGGACACATCAGAGTGCAGCTCCACAGAAAATTTCACTGCATCCTGCACAGTGTATCAGAAAGGTTGATATTGCTGGCAAGGTGACAGCATTCCCCCTTCTCCTAAGCACTTTCCCTTCTTTTCTGGCACTTCCTGCTATGTTACCTTGCTCAGGTCAGACTGGGCCTCTCTCAGTTTGCGCTTGTATCTCAGCACTTCTCCCTTCAGCTGGTGGTTGTGATTCTGGAGGCTGCTGATGAGGTGACGCATCTCCCGATTAATGGGGCCTGCAAAAACAGAAACACCTCTGCAACAAACCACACTTCTGTCAGCTTTCTTGAGGACTTTCATGGAGATGGAGAACAAGCTAAGTGACAATGACAAAGAACAAAGTAAGAGTATCACCATTCTGCCACATAACAGAGCAGCACAAAACACTTGCAGATAAAAAGTCATGCCAGTTTTATACGCAATCAATAAGTCCTTGCAAATTCACAATCTTAAGTTCCCACTTAACATTCTTTTTATGCCCACGATCCCAAGGGAAATGTGTCATGTTACATAAAAAAATAGGATTTAAATGCTACTTCAGAAGTAATTTATTTCCTCTGATGAAATTTAAGAATTACTGCTTTGATATCTAGATTGTCCTTACACACTTGGAAAGTAATGCAAAATATCCTGCCATAAACCAAATTGTTAGCAAACTGTATCTACTATGCAGCATCTAGGAAGAAGTCAGATAACATGGAACTGGTCTCCCAGTAAAACAGATGAAGAGCTTTGTTTTTTTAGATGAAGTGACCTGCTAGAACAAGTATTTAACAGTAACAAAGAATCAACCCAAGTGTTCTAGCGCACTGTAGCCCCTAATGGGCATTGGTGGGTAGGTGGTGTGTGTTTGTAGGCACAGCAGAACAACACCATACCTGCTTGCTCATTGGCAGCAAGTGTCTGTTCAAACTCTATCCTCAACATCTCATATTCTTTGCGAACTTGTGCCAGGGTGTCCTCCAGCTGAATCACCTCAGTGCGCAGCTTCTTGTGAAGGCTGACCTCATCCCTCTGAGGAACAAAAAGGAAACAGGACTTGGTGCTTTGATCCTGGAGTATCTCTCACCTCATCAGTATCAGGTACCACAAGAGCCTGAATTAGTGCCAGAAATGTCAGTTTCCTGAGCATTTGCAGAGGCATGCAGACCCAGCAGTGCTGGCTGGTGGCACGACAGAGCTCCCAGGCTGAGGGAGCAGAGGTGTTACCTCAATCAGCTCCACCTGGCGCTGGTGTGTGGCACGGGTGCCATGGAGCAGTGTGCGGGCCTCGTCAAGGTGTGCCTTCAGCTGGAGACTCTCGTTATACAAAACAGAAAACTGGGACTGCATGCAGCGATATTCCGGGGCCTCCTTCACAGCCTCTTCCACTGCCTGTCGCAACTCCACCTGGTTGGGACACAAGAAAATGCCACAAAACCAAAAATTATCCCCTTGCCTTTGCATTTGGTTTCTGTCTCTCAGAACAGTGAATCAAGCTGCCACAAGCAAACACAAAAGGAGAACTTGAATAGCATTGCTGTGAAGCAGGTTCAAGTGACATGCTTCAGTACCAATGTTAAAAAGAGTCTGTGTTCCCTGCATGCACTAGGCTGCTTCTCCTGCACAACCACATGACAGAAGTTTTTGACTCTTGGGTCCTGCAATAGTTTCTCTCAAAGATATGAATTTGGAAAACATAATAAATTGTAAACACCCAGATGAATAAAGATGGACACATAGAAAGTATGATAGAACAGAGAAAATGCACATGCAAGTAGGCAATATGTTAGCGTTCTACCAGTAAGACATAATGACAGAAAGAGAAATTTTAAAAAAACCCAGAGAAGCAGAACTAAATTCTCCTTATAAAGATAGTTAGCAAATGACTGTGACTAGCAGCAGAGAAACAGACACATATATACCTGCATTCAGCTTAAAAGTAATTAGGGGGAAAAAAAAGTTGTAAGCTAAAAACCACTTCTCCCTAAACAAACTTGTGGATAAAAAGAATTCAGAGATGCCTCAAGACAGTTCCCATCATTAGATATCTGGATTTAGGTTATCGAGTGTCCTAGGGTGAGGTTGTGATGCTTGTATCCCCAGTCGTGTGTTCTGTTGGTGCTGGATGTTATGTACTGTGCCTTCAAGACTGGCTCTGAAGAGCAAGGGTTGTTGTGGTTGGTTATCAGCCTGCTCCCCCACGGCTGG